AAAAAAGCAAGACCCATCTCTATGCTGCTTACAAGAGACTCACCTCAAACCCAAAGACTATAGGAACAAAGAATGACTGAAGGAACAAAACAGCAGCAGAATCATAGAACCTAAGAATGGACTAACAGTTACCAAAGGGAAAGGGACTGGGGAGAATGGGAGGGAAGGGAGGGATAAGGATGGGGAAAAAGAAAGGGGAACATTATGATTAGCATGTATAATGGGGGGGCATGGGGAGGGCTCTGCAACACAGGGAAGACAAGTAGTGATTCTATAGCATCTTACTACGCTGATGGACAGTACTGTAATGGGGTTTGTGGGGGGATTTGGTGAAGGGGGGAGTCTAGTAAACATAATATTCTTTATGTAATTGTAGATTAATGACAACAAAATAAATTAATTAATTAAAAAAAATTTACTGCAGTTATAGGAAATAGAGTAGAATACTGTAATATCAGGTTTTATAATAACTATGTTTTTACATATTGCAAATCCAATCAATTCCCCAGCTCTTCACCCTCCACTAAAAAAAAGAAAAACAAAATAAATATGTACAATGGAAATATAACATAAAAGCCTGAGTTTATAGGGTTTAAGTGGATATTTTTCTGAATAAACCAATTACTATCACAAATAATTTCTCACATGAATTAGATGAAAATAATTTGAACTTAGTGTTGTGTATACAAACAATAGAGCAATTAAAAAATATCTTGATTTTGAAATAATTTTAAGATACCATTTTCCAGCAGCATATCCAACAGTTATGGCTTAAAGAAAGCCTCATCTTGGCACAATGTTGCAGAATTCTGTTAACATGAAAAACAGTACTTAAAGATTTGCAAATAATGGCATTTTCCAGTTCTAGCAACCCATTCTCACTGCTATACATTTTAGGCAAGTACCTCATTTCCATTAAACTATGTCCAGAATTCTTTTCTTCCAGAAATTCTTAAGCCTCTAGAAGGAAACTTCTACTGTTTTTCCCTCTCTGCTAATCTTACACAGTTAAGGTCATTCCTCTGGTTTTTAGCAATGAAATGACTCTAAATGGAGAGAATTTTCAGGGCTCCTTTTTAAGAGGTGACAGATTGATAGTTCCTAAAAGGAAGAAACATGGGGATGTCAATCAACCACCCCCAGGAAACCAAATGACCAATTCTGCTCCTTCAAATCTACTTTGGCAGGTGCTTAGACATAAGTTTATAAAATAAATAACTTAATAATCCCCTTTCATTCTTCTGAGTACCACAGATTTATTAATTAGGAGAATTTTTTAAGAACATATGAACCAAAGAACTAAACAGAGGAAAGTGAATTAAATCTCCGGGTTTAAAATTTAACACTAACATTAACTTGAAAATGAACTCAAGTAGCCCTAAAAACTTTATAACCACTAAGAGGTGGCAGTTTCTCTTTGTTCTCCCTATTTTCTGAGTCTCAGGGTCAGGGATAATGCAGAAAGCTGATTTTGCAGAGCCCAAGTCATCCTGTCCCAGAGTCCTGAGGAGGAATGCATAAGAGAAACAAAAAGCAATTGAATTGGTGCAAGCATGTCTGCTTAGATCCTTGCAAGTTGCTACTTTGCGTGTCTGTGAACACTACAGGATCTCGCTCCCAATTTCCTCTCTAAAAGCCCTAATTGCTTGTGCTCCAGGGGTACAGTGGCTCTTTAAGGCATTAACCTGCTACTCCTGCATCTGCTGGCAAATTAATAAACTATTCCTTTCCTTTCCTCAAAATCTTGTCATTGTGTTTTGTGATTTGACTTTGGGGACAAGAACCAGTTTTCAGTAACAAAACTATACTTCATCTACTGTACACTCTCAGAAATCACTATTAGTCTGAGGATAGTAAAGCAGTATAAAAATTTTCAATGTATCATCAAATCCTCAACTTGATTCCAAGGAACAATAATGATGCCCATGTACTCAGAGAAAAGGCCCTTTTTTCCAAGTAGCACTTGCTTGCCATATAGGGATGTTTCTCCATATTTAACTTTTGATTTCAATGTCAGAAGTACCCTTATAATGATAATAATTAACTTACTCTATAAATGATGAGATCAAAAAAGTTGGCACATTTTACCAAAGACATGCATTTCCACTACACCTACTAAATTATAAATCTTATTCTAGGAAATGTATCCAGGTTCTCAAACATGTAACACTTGATTCAGTTAAATGTGAAGAACTTACCTAGTTGCCTGTTCAAGTAGAGAACACACAGAAAATAGACTTCCTGGTCTATCTGGAGGAAGGTTATTTACTGAGTAAGTTTTCTCTTCTCTCTGAAAATAGGTTTAAAATGAAAAATCTCAGTAAAGAATTTTGGCCATTATTACTTGGCAATTTTTTTCTTGATATATGTATTTACATAGTGACAAGGCAAACAGTTATTTTAACTTAACCAAAAGCCCATAAAAGGTATGTTTTTAAAGATATTTTATGATGTTTTTCCTTTTTCCCATTTAAAAAAAATTTAGAATTCCTCTTATACATTCAAGTTAGATACTATATACTGTAACTTACTCTCCCAACTTAAATTTTAGCTATACTTAAATTAGCATGGTAGGAGGACATTATGCTCAGTGAAATAAGCCAGGTGGAGAAAGACAAATGCCAAATGATCTCCCTCATTAGTGGAGTATAACAATGAAGCAAAACTGAAGGAACAAAATGGCAGACTCAGAGACTCCAAGACTGAACTAGTGGTTACCAAAGGGGAGGGGTGTGGGAGGGTGGGTGGAGAGGGAGGGAGAAGGGGACTGAGGGGTATTATGTTTAGTACACATGGTGTGGGGGGTATCACGGGGAGAACAGTGTATCACAGAGAGAGCACATAGTGGATCTGTGGCATCTTGCTGCATTGATGGACACTGACTGCAATGGAGTATGGGTGGAGACTTGATAATCTGGGTGAATGTAGTAACCACATTGTATTTTCATGTGAAATATTCATAAGAGTGTATATCAATCATACCTTAATAAAAATTTAAAAAGAAATTAGCATGGTAACCAAACTAATTTTTCTACACATTACCAGGAAATTTAGTACATAAGTCCCCTTTCCCTTGAGACAAAAAAATTAAAAAGCCTATATAGAATCCTCCAACCTCCATCCCTCTTTTATATAGCTCTTCCTTTAGAATTACAGATCCTAGCTTAGCCAGGTCTTCCTTCAGAAGGCCTTTCTGGAGTCTCCAGAACTAGATCAGGTGCCCCTCTGTATGTGTCCCCAAAGCACTAAGTTCTTATCTCTAATGGAAGCACTTACATTGTGAGTCCTTTTCAATCTTTCCCATTTCAATGTTAAGGTACTCAAGAAATACTTTACTACATTTTTTGGGGGAAAAAAATTTAAAAAACATAAGACTTAAGTCCCTCCATACCCCTCCCTCCTCACAAATTCCCAGACTCTTCCTCCCCAAAAGTATCCACTTTGGTTCAGTTGTTGTATACTTAAATCTTTCCCTGTGCATTTACATGTGTATTATATACAGTAATATATTTGGATTTAGGGTTTGTTTTTTGTTCTTTACACAAAGATGTCATTGTACATGTTATTATACAACTTTCTTTTTTTCACTCAATAGTGTATTGGAGGTCCTTCAGTCTCTCCATCTCCATCTTTTGCATTCTTTTAAACTGCTGCTCAGCAGTCCCATAATCTGATCACTAGAGCTGTTTTTTGCTACTACAAATGTCACAACCCACATCCTAGACCATGCTTCTTTATATCTATGTGCTGATGTGTTTCTAGTATCGATACCTAGAAGCAGACTTTTTGGCCAATTTTACTTGGTATTATCAAACTCTTTCCCCCACACCCTTGCTACCAGTAGATATTATCAACCTTTTAAGCATTTCACAATTTGATGAATGCAAAATGTTATGTCACTGTCACTGTAATTTCTATTTCTTTGATGCCAGCAGTAAAGTTGAACATGTTTTCAAATATTATGGGTCATTTATATTGCCTTTTCTATAGCTTGACCATTCTTATCCTTGTACTCATTTTTCTATTACTTTCTTTTTTTAGTCTTTGTATTACTGATTTATAGCATTGAACTTTTTTTTCCAGACCTTTGTGTTTTTTACTTGATCTGATAAAACTTAAATATTTAAAATTTAAGTATGAAAATTTCAAGCTTATCAAACTTTTATGGCTTCTGGTATTCTGTATTATACTTAAGGCCTCCCCTACCCCAAGATTATAAACATTGACTTTCTTTATTTTCTTTGAATAACTGTAAATTTTGATTTCTTACATTCAGCCCTTTAATCCATCTGGAATTTATGTTGGAGTATAAGTTAAAGTAAGGAGCAAACAATTTTATCCCAATAAGAGCCAATTGTTTCGACATCTTCTCACTCTAGACAGAATGTGTTGCACAGAGGTCTGACAGTGAAGCCCAAAGCAGTCCACCACAAAAAGCACAACTTGTTTCAAACTTTTGTGTTCTATCCCAAAAGCTTATGTTCCCACTCCCTATATTTACCTCAGTGTAAAAATAATTGCCCCCTCCCCGACACCTGAGTAAAACTGAAGCTCCAGGAAGATGCACTATAAATACATACACCCACTCCAATTTGCCTGTGTTCTCTCTTACACCACACACACACACACACACACACACACACACACGGGGTTGGGCTCGCTTTCATTTATTTGCTTGTTTGACTGACTGGTAGACTGTGAAACACACACACACACACACACACACACACACACGAGGTTGGGCTCGCTTTCATTTATTTGCTTGTTTGTCTGACTGACTGGTAGACTGTGAACCCTCAAAGGAGGGCAGGAAACTCTTCATCTTTACCCAGTGCTTAACAGAGTGCCTGGCTAGCAGTTCAATTCATGTTTGTTAAATAAGTAAGTACCTTCCTACAAACAGACCCCAGGAGAGAATCTGCTCCAATATACATAAAAATATTTGTGAATGAAATTATATTTGGGATTTACATAAAAATAAATAGGGATCAATGATACCATAATTAAAAAATTAATTAAATAAATAAATAAATAAGGGAGTAGAGTGGGCAGTGGGAAGTATAGATGGAACAAGCTGGGTGATAGGTACATGAAGGTCTGTTACACCTGTCCTACTTACGTGTGTATTTGCAATTTTCTATAGTTAAGAAAAAAATTCACTCTATTTTTAACTCTTCTCCCTACCAACTCTGATAATCTTATCACTCAAATACTTTATTCTGTAACACAGAAAGAAAACATATTTATTACGTTCCATCCTGCAAAGCAGACATGTGATACTATGGTGATCCCTATAAAAGGGTGGTTGTCAAATGACAGATTAGAGACTAGCAAATTTAGACTAGTAACAAAGTATCCACATTACATTTTGGTCTAATACATTAAGTATATTATTTTATGTTTCACAAAGAACAGCGGTGTTCAACTTTATAGTTGCATATGAAGAATTAGAAGTTAGGAGATATTTTAAATATGTAAACAATTACATGGTGGGAGAAAAAAGAATGTGCTTTTAATCAAATGTTAATTCAGTGAAGTATATTCATTCAAAGTAATGTTGCTAGTTTCAGTGTTTCCTAGTCTATGACAGAAGAAATTTAACTTCTGATTCAAACACAAAATGCTGAGGCAGATGGATGACAGAATACAGGGTAAGAATACAATAAAAATAAAGTGGTTAATAATTACTGTGCCAATACCGGCAGTAAGGTTATACTGATTCTCCAGACTGGGGAATAGTAGCAAGCAACATTATATAAAAATTTAATTCCCTATATATTTATTTAGAAGTACTATATACCCAAAAGCTTCTTGAGCTGAGACCTGATTGTCAGCTTACCTCTTCTGACCCTTCTTGAATGGAGTAATATGTAAAATAGTTCCCCAAATACGCTCCTTCTGATTTGAAAACAGATCCATCTCCAGGATAAATCTCTATAGAGTTCACATTTTTATGGGCAAGTCTAAGGAAGAGAAATGATCATCAAAAATTTTTTTTTCTAATTGAGATAAAATATACCTGAAGGTAATCTTAAAAATAAAAAAAGCAAAGTTGTATGGGGTTTTTTGCCTATGCAGCAAAACATAATTTTATACTCTGTATCCCAACCAGCTAAATTAATTTTTCTTCAAAAAATAAATAGCACACACAGAATCAGTTAATATATCTATTTTAATAACTGAGCTCAGCTTATGGAAGTCAGGCATCTATCTTCTTATCCTGGCATCCCCACTGCCAATCACAGTGGCTGGCACATGACAGTTACCAAAGAAATGCCAATTACATAGGAGTTAAATATGACAATTCCAGGACCTGAAAATAAGATTTTTCTTGAATTATGAAACTAGTAGAATCAATATCTGATGGATGAGATTAGCCATGTGTAAAAGAGTAATCCCTGAGAGAAGGTAGCTGATTGTACCTGAAGCACCATGTACAATCAAGGTACTGGTTGTGTAACATATAAAACCGCATGTGAAGTCAATTTTATTGAAACATATATGAGGAATGTATTGTCAGAAGGGGTGGGTTTTCATGCAGGAAAAGGAAAGCCCAAAGAACAAAAATTTTGCAGTACTCTTGCAACATTACAGAAGTAAGACTCTGAATCTAGGCAACATTAGTATTCCAGTCACTAGAGAGGTGTACTTGTGGTGGGATGGGGATCATTCAGTGGAATAGTGCAGACACAGAGAAGCTAGCCTGTGAATATTTGTGGCAAGAAGGAAGGCTGAAATCTCCTGGAGGCTCTCTCCTTTCTCCAATTCCATGCTTAGTGGACAACATTCTGATGTGACTAATTCAGACAAGTAGTTGCCCTGATGCTTGGACGGGGTTTATCCTAAATACCTGCCATAGTATTTCATTCACTAGTCACATGAATCCCTCACTGGCTTTGGAGCTGTCACAAACATCCTGTGGATATGGTTAATGTGAATTAGTCACAAGACCATTCCATGCACTAATATAAAATGAAGGTTTAGGACTTGTAAAACTTAGGACCAAACACAGAACAATGGCTCCAGCAAACCCGTGTCCTCTCATGGGAGTCTGTCTGCAAGGCTAGTCCCATCCCTCCTGTGATATCACTAAACAGCTCTAACTCCAATGCGGGCACCTTACCTATATGTAATACCCTTGTACCAAACCACTTTCACTAGCTCACGATAGGAATATTCTTCATCAAACAGCCTCTGGGAAAGTGAATCACAAAAATCCCACCTGTGAAGGACAAAATACAAGCTATTAATTCTGGTTGCTCATCATAATTAACTTTAGAAGTCAACCAGAGAGTGCTACTGTAACAATAATGCATTTATTGCTTAACTTGTTGGATTAAAGAAAAGTAAAAATCAGTATGAAACTGCATCGGTAAAATTTAAAACTAATTATTTTCCATATTTTTCTTTTTCAGTATTTTCAATAATCTCATTACTGAATCTCAGCACAATCACATAAATTAACAGTTTTCCTAACCTTTAAAATTTAGGATTCAAACAACAAATATTTATTGAAATATCTATGGTGGGCAAGGCACTGTGCTATATATACTGGAAAATAAAACCCCAAAAAGCAGACATGGTCACTGCCCTCAGTGGAGATTCCTATCTAGTAGGATGTTAAATAATTAATATTGAGTATATGCAGCTCTATTTACAATAGCTAAGACATGGAAGCAACCTAAGTGTCCATCAGTAGATGAACAGATAAAGAAGATGTGGTACATATACATAATAGAATATTATTCAGCCATAAGAAGAAAACAATTCTACCATTTGCAACAATATGGATGGAGCTAGAGGGTATTATGCTCAGTGAAAAAAGCCAGGCAGAGAAAAACAAGTACCAAATGATTTCACTCATCTGTGGAGTAAAACAACAATGCAAAAACTGAAGGAACAAAAACAGCAGCAGACTCACAGAACCCAAGAATGGACTAGCGGTTACCGAAGGAAAACGGGTTGGGCGGGTGGGTGGGAAGGGAGGGAAAGGGGATTAAGGGGCATTATGATTAGCACACATAAAATAGGGTAGGCATGGGGAAGTACAGCACAGAGAAGACAAACTAGTGACTCTATAGCATCTTACTATGCTCATGGACAGTGACTGTAATGGGTATGTGGTGGGGACTTGATAATAGGGGGTAATGTAGTAACCACAATGTTGCTCATGTGAAACCTGAGCATAAGATTGTATCAATGATACCTTAATAAATAATTTTAAAAACCCAACCAAAATAAATAAATAAATAAATATTGATCATAAAGAAAAGAGAATTACTAGATGCTATGGGATTGTGTAAGAATCAAATCCCTCTAGGGACTTGGAGATAACCACCCTAAGGAAGAAAGGCTTATGTGCAAATCTGGAAATGAGCCTGTTTGCAAGCTGAGAAAGGAGTGTTTCCAGAAGAGGGAAGAACAAGTGCAGGGGCAAAAGAAAGCTTGAGAAGGCATTCTAGGAACTGCAAGATATCCAGTTTAGCAAGAGTTGAGAAAGCAAGATACAGGAAGGGACCAGAAAATGGAAGGCCTTTTGAGCCATATTTAAGGATAATGGACTTAACCTAAGGCTAGAGGCAAGTTAAAGAAAAACTGTTAAATTAGAAGCATAATCCTCTTTTGATGGATGATCATAATGCTTGAATTTCCAATTTTAACTAGATAATCATGACAAGCCTGAAAATCATTCCCATAGTTTGCCTGAAATAACCACAATGTACTCAGAGACTACCTGGAATCAAACCCTAATTCTACAAGTACTAGCTGTGCAACTTTGTTCAGGTTTTTTAACCTTTCTGTGTCTCAAGTTCCTCTACAAAATGGGACACTAATGGTACTTACCTCATGAGGTTGCTATGAGGATCAAATAGGTCAAATACAGCTGTACCTGGCACCTAGTTAAGTGCTTTGTATTAGCTATTATCATCATTACTGCACTACTTACATACAGTTTGTGCTACAAAGCTGTAACTATTAAGTCATTCATCTCTCACTGGAGGGAAAAGGTTTATACCCAGCCATCCAGAAGCCTCTCTGTGTTTACCCCTTTTGAAAATGGACATATTTAGAATTAGTTAACCAAAGACAGAGGTGGCCTCTGAGGTAAGGTATGGAGGAAAGAACCCATGATCATAAATTGTCAGATCCATGCTTCAGCGACCAACGTGATAGGCTCTGCAGAGCTGCAGCTGATGGTCCTCCATGCTGTCACAGAGCCCTGGGCCTTCACTTACCATACTTTAATAATCTTTTCAGCAAAATGGTCTTCATTAGACTCTAAGCTCCTGGAAAGCAGTGACTGTGTCCTAGTCATCAGTTATCTCTGCACTTAACAAAGTCTCTAGTGTATAGTCAGTCTTCATAAACAGTCAATGCATGGACACAGGGTAAGAAACATCAGCAACATATTTGCTAGAAAATTACTATCAGTTATTAGCAAACTTCTGAACCAACTGAATGAACATTCCTTATGCATTGTATCAGATGATTTAGAAGGAAAATTAGTCTTGTCAAATTTTTTGACTGGTTCAGACAAAAGCTTTATGACAGGTAAGTCATTCTTGCATTACCTGTGCAGGTGTGGGACCGGACAGCTGAGCAACAGGGCCCTGGGAAGAACAGAGACCTCTTTTCCTCTTTCCTCTGACCCATGAGAAGTTAAAACTTCACTCTGGGTTATATCTGCATCAATTCCAGACATCCTGCTGATTTTATTACGAAAATGAAGTGCCAAGGACAAAGGGTATTTCCATTCCTCTGGACAGGAGGCCACAGACCAGCATTGCTGTACCCACGTGTATATACATGTGTGTTTTGTACCAGGAGGAGGCAGCCCCTCCCTGTCTTCAGTTACACAAATCTTTTCCTCTAAAGATTCTTTGGATTTCCCGATCTGAGAATAAAGTTCATTTTCTTTATTCTTCAGCCTTTGTCCTGATAAACTCCCATGAGTACAGGTCTTGCCTGCTGTCTCAACTGGTTTGCCGTTTTTGTCTTGACTATTCTTTTCTGACAATATGATGGATGAGTCTGGCTTCTGGCTTACTTTACACAAAAAATGTACTGAAAATTCGTGCTGAGATTTGGGCAGACAAAGATATGCATGACCATCTAAAGATGCTATCTTCACAGTGCCACTCCGCAGACATATCATGCCATCATCAGTATCACGACTGGGCCATCTCACTTCTGAGATGTCAGTGAAGATACGCTGAGTTGAGGGGAGAAAAAGAGATGGTTTGTATTTTTTGTTAACAGCCCAATTTTGCCATATATTTGATAGTTACGCATTATGTAAGAAAGCTCTTAAAGCTCATTTAAAAACCCAACCAAAATAAATAAATAAATAAATATTGATCATAAAGAAAAGAGAATTACTAGATGCTATGGGATTGTGTAAGAATCAAATCCCTCTAGGGACTTGGAGATAACCACCCTAAGGAAGAAAGGCTTATGTGCAAATCTGGAAATGAGCCTGTTTGCAAGCTGAGAAAGGAGTGTTTCCAGAAGAGGGAAGAACAAGTGCAGGGGCAAAAGAAAGCTTGAGAAGGCATTCTAGGAACTGCAAGATATCCAGTTTAGCAAGAGTTGAGAAAGCAAGATACAGGAAGGGACCAGAAAATGGAAGGCCTTTTGAGCCATATTTAAGGATAATGGACTTAACCTAAGGCTAGAGGCAAGTTAAAGAAAAACTGTTAAATTAGAAGCATAATCCTCTTTTGATGGATGATCATAATGCTTGAATTTCCAATTTTAACTAGATAATCATGACAAGCCTGAAAATCATTCCCATAGTTTGCCTGAAATAACCACAATGTACTCAGAGACTACCTGGAATCAAACCCTAATTCTACAAGTACTAGCTGTGCAACTTTGTTCAGGTTTTTTAACCTTTCTGTGTCTCAAGTTCCTCTACAAAATGGGACACTAATGGTACTTACCTCATGAGGTTGCTATGAGGATCAAATAGGTCAAATACAGCTGTACCTGGCACCTAGTTAAGTGCTTTGTATTAGCTATTATCATCATTACTGCACTACTTACATACAGTTTGTGCTACAAAGCTGTAACTATTAAGTCATTCATCTCTCACTGGAGGGAAAAGGTTTATACCCAGCCATCCAGAAGCCTCTCTGTGTTTACCCCTTTTGAAAATGGACATATTTAGAATTAGTTAACCAAAGACAGAGGTGGCCTCTGAGGTAAGGTATGGAGGAAAGAACCCATGATCATAAATTGTCAGATCCATGCTTCAGCGACCAACGTGATAGGCTCTGCAGAGCTGCAGCTGATGGTTCTCCATGCTGTCACAGAGCCCTGGGCCTTCACTTACCATACTTTAATAATCTTTTCAGCAAAATGGTCTTCATTAGACTCTAAGCTCCTGGAAAGCAGTGACTGTGTCCTAGTCATCAGTTATCTCTGCACTTAACAAAGTCTCTAGTGTATAGTCAGTCTTCATAAACAGTCAATGCATGGACACAGGGTAAGAAACATCAGCAACATATTTGCTAGAAAATTACTATCAGTTATTAGCAAACTTCTGAACCAACTGAATGAACATTCCTTATGCATTGTATCAGATGATTTAGAAGGAAAATTAGTCTTGTCAAATTTTTTGACTGGTTCAGACAAAAGCTTTATGACAGGTAAGTCATTCTTGCATTACCTGTGCAGGTGTGGGACCGGACAGCTGAGCAACAGGGCCCTGGGAAGAACAGAGACCTCTTTTCCTCTTTCCTCTGACCCATGAGAAGTTAAAACTTCACTCTGGGTTATATCTGCATCAATTCCAGACATCCTGCTGATTTTATTACGAAAATGAAGTGCCAAGGACAAAGGGTATTTCCATTCCTCTGGACAGGAGGCCACAGACCAGCATTGCTGTACCCACGTGTATATACATGTGTGTTTTGTACCAGGAGGAGGCAGCCCCTCCCTGTCTTCAGTTACACAAATCTTTTCCTCTAAAGATTCTTTGGATTTCCCGATCTGAGAATAAAGTTCATTTTCTTTATTCTTCAGCCTTTGTCCTGATAAACTCCCATGAGTACAGGTCTTGCCTGCTGTCTCAACTGGTTTGCCGTTTTTGTCTTGACTATTCTTTTCTGACAATATGATGGATGAGTCTGGCTTCTGGCTTACTTTACACAAAAAATGTACTGAAAATTCGTGCTGAGATTTGGGCAGACAAAGATATGCATGACCATCTAAAGATGCTATCTTCACAGTGCCACTCTGCAGACATATCATGCCATCATCAGTATCACGACTGGGCCATCTCACTTCTGAGATGTCAGTGAAGATACGCTGAGTTGAGGGGAGAAAAAGAGATGGTTTGTATTTTTTGTTAACAGCCCAATTTTGCCATATATTTGATAGTTACGCATTATGTAAGAAAGCTCTTAAAGCTCTGTGTTTACTACCCAGAGAGAATGAAAAGTGGAGAGCCAGATGTCAGCTTAAATATGATTTTCCACAGAATTTTTGATATTGTTAAGATTCTCTCTTTTAGGAAAAAGAGATGTAAAACACACCCACACCCACACCCACACACAGACAAAAAAATGAGAGAAAAAGTAATCCTTATTATATTTAGTATTAGACAAATTTTTGTTTAAAATGTACAATGAATCAGAAATAGATTTTCAGCCTCTCCCAAAGTCCTACTCAGAGACAGAATATAAATAAGAGAAGCACTACAATGTACTATATTAAAAGCAATCATAACTTGGTGATATTGAACTATCATAAAAATAATTGACAGAACAACTCAGAGAATACAGAGTTGGACTCAACCATATCTTAAGATGTTAACTGTGATAACATAAGCTTTTCAAAGTAACGGTACTGGAATTACTGAATAACATTCAGGAAATGCTACTTCAAACAGTTATCAAATGGATTAAATAAAATAACATATATAAGGTACCTGGTCTATATAGCACCTGGCATATCACATACTAAAATAAATTCTAAGTGGCTTAATTAATAACATTTTTAGAGACTGAATTACTCAATAGTGAACTGATACTGACCAGTAGAGAACAGATTCATACCAGGTAACAGTGGGTGGAGCATGTTTTCAAGTAAGATAAAAACAAGGGGTGTTACATAACAATCTCTTAATTAGTTAATCTTGCCAATATTAATTAATAATAGTAAACATTTCAACTTCCATTTATATAAAACCTTAAATTTACAAAAACTAGTGTCAGGAAGGCATATTTGCAGTGCTATTCATGCGTACAGATGTTACTATAGTATTCATTGATGGCAAAACTGGTTTGTAAGGATGGTTAAGGAAGTTCTATCTTCTAGAATTATATATCATTCCTAGACTATCTAATAATCCTACTGCAGCATCGGCAGCAAGCTATGCAATTTCAATGAATAAAGTTACTCAAAAGATATAGTGGAAAAATAGCCTTATAGACTAATTATAGCTTATAATTTTCCATGATTCCTTTGCCATGAAACAAACCATAATACAAAATTACTCAGTAGGCAGGCAAGCATCATGGTGGTAGCAGAAAGTGGTTAAAAGGCATAGACTGGGTTCAAATCCTGACTTTGCCACTTAAAAAATGTCCATGGACAAGTTAGGTAAACTCTCTGAGGTTTAGTTCCCTCACCTATAAAAAGAGGCTAATATCCAGCCAACATACCTGTTCTGACTAGTTGGACACCCATAATAATTAGCAGGTACACATGCCATACTGGTGTTATGAAATACTTTTAGTATCATTCCTAGTTATTGGCACATAGTAAATCCTCAATAAATGAAAGTTATTATTCCTAAAAGTTCAAAACAGAATATAAGCAAAAGAATAAAATTTGTATACCCATACGTAATTACACATTAACAAATAACCACACACAAGCAACTGAAAATTGCCACATAATTTTTTTGAGAGGGCATCTCTCATATTTATTGATCAAATGATTGTTAACAACAATGAAATTCTGTATAGGGGACTCAATGCACAATCATTCATCAACCCCAAGCCTAATTCTCAACAGTCTCCAATCTTCTGAAGCATAATGAACAAGTTCTTATATGGTGAACAAGTTCTTACATAGTGAATAATTTTCAGTGAACAGTGCCACATAATTTCTTAATTTTAACATTTATGAGAATCAAAAAGCCACCAATCTGAAAAATTCAGAGTATAACCCTTGGCTATGAGGAAAAAGGCAGGGAGATGTAACTGTATAATTTCTGTGTCTCAACCAATACACAAAATATAAAGTCTAGTGAAATATAGAAATATACATTCTACAGCATTTCCAAGTGTCATGAAGAAAAACATGAAACACTAAACTGTTTCTAATTACTTGTCCTTAAACATCACTTATGAAAAATGAGGTTTAAAATATTTACCTTTTTTCTTTCAGAAGGTATGAGGCTTTCAGATAAAAAAGGGCAAATAGCAGCAGAGTTTCGAAAATCGAGGGCTCGCTGCAGTTGCTTCTACAAAAAGAAATACACAATGTAACCTTAAAAAATGTAAAATAATTTGAAATCAATTTAGAGTGACCATAATCCAGAATAGTAATTATTTTCCATATTCTGTCTACCTCAACAATATTTTGGTATTAGAAAGAGTTGTTTTTCATCATCTTTACTTACTCGGTAAGTGCTAATAACAAAGTGTGTCCTTTGACGAATTCTTTCTGGCTGTTCTAAAGGATGTGCTGAAACAGGAGGAGCCTTTTCAAATAAAAATTCAGACCCACAGGGAGAAAGCTGTAGTCTGGAACCATCAACATAATGTACTTGCACTGAATCATCTTCATAAAGTACCATTTGCACTTCAGCCGCCATTACTTTGACTATGGATAAAATGTCCTTCCAAGGTGAAGACTAAAGGAAACAGGAAACAGAGTAGCACACACAGTTCCCTTAATGGACAAGTCTGTATTTTCTAAGAACACAAGGAAAACATTTTGTTATTGCATTTACTCTTGTTGCATGTAAAGTGATTACTTTAGTACAGGCATACCCTGGAGACGTCGCGGGTTAGGCTCCAGAACATCACAATAAAGCAAATATTGTGACAAAGTGAATACTAATACTACAATAAAGCAAGTCAAATGAATGTTTTGGTTTCCCAGTGCATATAAAAGTATGTTTACATTATACTGTAGTCTAGTAAGTGTGCAATTATATTATGTCTAAAAAAAATACATACTGTAATTTAAAAATATTTCGTTGCTAAAAAATCCTAGCCATCATTTGAGTTTTCAGTGACTCATAATCACTGGTCACAGATCACCATAGGAAATATAAGAAAAGGTTTGAAACAGTGTGAGAATTACCAAAATGTGACATAGAGACATGAAGTGAGCAAATGCTGCTGGAAAAACAGTGCCAATAGATTGCTCCATGCAGGGTTGTCACAGACCTTTAATCTGTGAAGAATCCAGTTATCTGTTCCCTTTTAGGACATGATCTCCTTCTACTACTCAAGCAATCAAGTTTCACCTGACAGAAAAAAATAACTTTCCATAGATCCCACTTTTCCCAGTTTTACCCCTATTTCCTACCAATAGACTTTTCAAGTATAGTATCAACTTGTGGTCTCCTTTCTCTTCCATCAATCCTCAATTCATTGCATTCTAGCTTTCTCCTCCACCTCTCTACTGAAATTGTTTCACAATGGTCACCAGTATGTTCCTATACTCACTGAGTTCTGTCTTCACCCTACTACACTACTACTAGTCAGCCTTTGATGGCATTGTCTAATTTCCCCTGCACAAAACTCTTCCTCTGCCTTTTATTTTAAAACACAAGGGCTGCCATAGCTCCCCTCTACATCTATTTTTTGAATCATGTCTCTTCACTATTTTTTTAAATCAAGGCTTTTTCAAAACCTGATGTTAGTCCCCATTTCATCATCTCTCCTTACTATACACATTCATGTTGCTTTTATACCTGTCCTTGCTTTTTCTTTTATCTTACCCCCTTTCAAAGTCTGTAATCAGCTACATATGATTGACCTATAATCTTTTGTGGAATGTCAGGATATAAGTAAATATTAAACCATATGGCCTCTCTTGAGGACACTGACATAACTTTTAATTATTTCCTTTCTCTAGAGAACTTCCAAATCTATCCGACCTCTCTCCAGAGCTTCCAGTTGCCTGCTTCATGTCCCTGTCCCACCAGATAAATCAAACTCAACATGGCTAAGATGGAACTTAACCATGCCCGCCAAAAGCGGGCTTTTGTAATATCCTCTAATTTCATTTGCACTCTTGCTTTCCATGGTGTCCAGTCTACATATGGTAGTAGTAAGAGGGGCCTTTTAAAATAAAAATGATTTCTATCACTTACTGGTTCACAACCTACCGTTTGCACTTAGGATGATAAAATCCAAATTCCTAACCATGGCCTATAAAATGCAATCTTGGCTTCATCTACCTCTCCAAATGTTATCTCCTCTCACGTCCTTGTTCAGGCCACTTAAGATACACCTGCCTTTTTAAACAAGCTGTTTCCTGTCTCCATTGTTCTTTCTGCCTACCATGTCCTTTTCCTGGCCTATTTCATGGCTGGCTCTTTGTCACCAATAAGATCTTACCTCAAATATCATTTCCTAAAGGCACGACTTGATGATTTCGATTAAACTTGTTCCCAATCATCTCCTAATCACTTTTTATCCATTTCATCTTTTTCTGAATGGCATATCTCACTACCAAAGCTGATTTTATATATTGACTTGCTTTTTGTCTTTTCTCTACTAGGATATAAATTCAATCAGAAAAGAGACCTCTGTCTTATAACCGTGTCCCTGGCATGTAGGACGATACTTGGCAAATAATGAGTTCAACAAAGATTTTATTTAACGACTAAAAGGATAAGAGAATTAAAAAACCCTCGCTCCTCCTTAATTTGCAATTTGAATTAATGGCCTCTCAATCTTAGCAATATTTGACTTCCCACTGTTTCTCTCCACACCTCTGTAACAAGTCCTATTGGACTTTGTAAGTCTGTCTCCTAAACCTGACTCCTCTTTTTCTCATTCAGGCCATTAATTCTCCCCTCAATTCCTGCACTCTCTGGGGTCTATTTCCAGTTTCTTCCCTCTCCCGCCCATTTCCAGGGTTGCTGTTGTAGGTAACTTTCCACAACCCAGACGATACCAACCACTTTACGTCGCTTGTTTACACGTTAAATGGCAGTACTTAAACAATAAATGCATTTATATCCGGCATTTCATAAAAAGCTATAATCCGGCTCCAATCAAATTTTCAACCTCATCTCTACTGTCTTATCCCTGTTTTGTTTATTTTACCACCCAGTACATTACGTCACAGCATGCTGAACGATTAAAAAGCCACAATTCTGTTCTTAACATCAGTGGGAACATCATTTGTCAAAATGCACTTAGTTACAGAAAAAGCCTCATCAAAACAATGACCAACGTCTTGAACTCACAGTTCTGGGCTGAAAAGTCGTGGGAATGAGACCAACCAGTGGCCCTGTGCTAATTTAATTTGCCAAAATATTCAAAGACGCAGCGTCTGCCCACAGCTGCTTCTCGAGGGATGGAATATTTCTTCAATTTGACAAATTACCAATAAGTCATGTTTCTTGATGAAAAAAACAATCACAACCGCGGAGAAATAAGGCCACAGAAAGAGTGTTTTAGCCCAGACGTCCGTTAAATCAGAGCCGGGAAGCGCCAGCTAAGGAACGGCACACAACGCAGCAGTACCTAGGAGCGGTTCAAACCTTCCGCCTTCAGGAACTGGCTTTCCTCCCGGAAAAAGGAAGACCGGAAGTCCCGCCCCTCCTGCTCCCGCCGCTGCGACTGCTACGGCCCCAGCGCGCACCGCGGAAGGCGGGACCGGAAGTAGCGGAGGGAGAGATTCCTAGTCTATTCCTCTTCGAAGGTCCTTACTTTCGGTTCCTCCTGTGGAGCTGGGCGTACTTGGTTGTGATAAAGTCTGAAGAAGCCTAGCATTCTGATGAGTCAAACAATAACTAACCACACGGGTGGCTTTCAGGTGAGTGAGGCTTATGGAGGTATAATTATTTTACTTCAATAAAGATGTTAAAAAAAACTTGGCCAAAGATAGAAACCTCTCCCTAATTTGGTATGATAAGGAAAACATTCTGAGGTGTTCTAAAATTAAATGATATGAGGGCCGGAGAATGGGGGAAAGAGACAAGGGGAAGTAATCAAGTCATAGCCGAGGGCTGTAGTTAATGAGAAATTCCACCTACCCGGAGAAAGTCATTTTCTGCGTCATCTAGAACGTCCCCAGAACAACTGCATCCCTCCTGCTTGTGAACAGTCTTGACCATCACCACACCCAATCCGCGAGCCTTCTAAGGGCTAACTGTCTATCCCTGGCCTTTGCCCGCTAGGAGTTAGCCCATCTTCTTTATCTGTAGTCTTTCCTTGAGACCCCTTGTAAGTGTGCCCTATTTCTTGAGTCTGGCATGGCAGACAAGTTTCTGTAGCAGGACTTCCTGCTGGTGAAGCAGAAGCTTTGTCCCAGGGCACAGTCTCTTTCTTGCTAGCATCAGTAAAGGCTCAATAAGCCCTTTTATTTCAGAGATCTCTCAGTCTAGAGTTTTTGAATTGTCAGGTATCAGAAAAATAGATCTTTGAACTATGTATATCAATAAGCCCTTTTATTTCAGAGATCTCTCAGTCTAGAGTTTTTGAATTGTCAGGTATCAGAAAAATAGATCTTTGAACTATGTATCTGCATCTTTTCTTTGAAATAACAATTAATTAGATGTGCCTGCTATATTTATTTATTGCCGTAAAGTATTTATGGAGAACCTACTATTTGCTAGACATGCTGGGGATAAAACGAAACTACACCCAGGGTCTAGGAGGGGGACTAGAGATTAACTGGAAAATTAAGGAGTAGATAATTTGATCACAGTTGGGGTAAGTGTTTGTAAAATAAAATACAGAGGTCTGTGATAGCATATAGTGGGGTGGGCCTAACCTAGGCTAAGAAAATATTTCCACTGAAATCCAAAGTGTAAGTAGGTGGGTAGGCAGGGTGAGGGCGTCCGGAAAAAGCAAAGCAGGATATTTGCAGTCAGAGCAATGTAACTACATGCAAGGAAACCCTCTACCAAAACTGTGTTAAATATTAAGCTCTAGGGTCATTCTTCAGTGAGATCAGTTAATATTCCCCAGATAAAGAAGAGTAGCACATGTTTTTATTATGCTAATTATTTGTAATTATATGTAAGGTTCACTTTAGCATGCTAAAAGGCTCAGACCTATGTGCTGTCTTTCCTCCTTCAGATCTGATAAGTGACCAAACTGGGCAATTAATTTGGCAGGTAAGCCCAGGCATAAACAACATAGTAAAAGGCAAGAAGGATTCCACCTTGAAGATAAGATGGCATTTTAATACTCAGGAAGTTAAGAAGTTAGAAATTCTTAACTTACACTCTTTAGCAAACAATACCTCAGCCCACCTTGGGGGCTGGGCAGACGGCCTTGTCTGATATGCTCCCAGACCAAGATGCTGGTATCTGGGAGAAATGATCAGAGCAGGAAGTTTCTTGTGTTAAGTTAATTCTAAATATTCAGGGACCACTTAATAAGTCCACATTCCTAAGCATTTTTCATGTTCCCCAAAATCCTCAACTGCCTATAAAACCTCTGGACAACTCACCATCCTGGGCTCTATTACAGCCAGGAGCTCTGTCCTTTCACTGTATCTCTAAATAAAAGCCTGTACCTTGCTCTCCTACCTTGAGTGTTTGTGAAGCTCATTCTTTGGCTTCATGAACAAGAACCCCGGCATCAGGAGGATGGTGGAGGGAGTGTTTCAAGCCAAAGTAAGAGCCTATGTTAAGGTCCTGAGGTCTAAAGGAAGCATCCTGACACTTAAAAGGACTGAAAGAAAGCCAGTTTGGTTTACGAATGATTAAAGAAGAGAGGGAGGCCTTTAAGGTAGAAGCCTAAATGGGTCAACAGTCACAGGGCAGGGGCCAGATTATCATGGATTTTTGAACTATGGACTTTATTTTAAAACCAGTGATAAATATTACAAGGGGTTTAAGCAAATGAGGCACCACCAGGGATGGGGAGAAATCTAACTCCTTAAATTCATATCCATTGTAAAAAGTCTGATGTGCAAATTGACCTTGGTCTTATGTAAAGTGTAATGAAGTCACCCTCAAACAACCATGTTTTCACTGATCTGTAACATGTTTGTATTACACAATGCTAACTTAGGTCCTCACTCCCACCTTTTTCCCCTCCTTCTGTCCAAAGTACCTTCTGTGTATAAATTCTGTCTTCTACAGAGGAGTTTTGTGATGCTATTTGTACTTTAGAAAGATTCCTAGAATTGCTGAGTGGAGAATGGATTGTAAGATGCCAGAGCAGATGTGGGGAGCCCAGTAGATGTCTTCTGAAGAAGATACAGGAGAGATGGCATTTCAGACTCAAAACTGACCAGTGAGGATGGAGAGCATAACTCCAAGAAATATTTAGGAGATCAACTCTATAGTCTTGGGGATGATTGCACAGTAGGAGTTAAAAATAGTTCCAGGGTTTCTGCTTGGGTCAAGTATATAGGTGGCAGTGCCATCAATGAGAGGGGGATGTAAGAAAAGCAAATTTAGGGAGTAGCATGACTTAAATTTTGTGAGTCCTCTTGGTGGAAATGACAAGTTAGCAAAGGTCCAGAATCAAGAGATTAGAAACAAATCTGGAGTCAGTAGTAATACCTGTTAACTGAAGCTTCAGGAGAGGATGACATAGTTGCAGGATATTGACATGAGAAAAGAATACTTAGGATTGAGCTTTGAAGAACACCAATGCTTACAGAATAGGTAAGGGAAGATAATGCCACAAGAACTTCTGAGGAACAGCACAAAGCTAGAAAGTAAGCTATTGTATTCTAGATGCCTTTCACTTTTGCTGTCACGTGACAGTGTTAGATACTGCCTAGCGAACAAGCTGTAAGAATGAATTGTCTACTGGATTTAGTGGCACAGATACCATTGATGACTTCAGTGAGGGCTGTTGTATCTAGTGTCAGCAGAAGCTACAGTGGGTTTGAAGAGCAAATAGGAGGTAAGAAACTGGAAAAAATGGGGCACTTGAGAAGTCTGACTAGGAAGCAGAGATAGGCTGTACTCAAGAAATGTGAGGGTCAGATTTCTTTTGATGAGAGGAATGGCATGTTCAGCTTATGCAAAGGGCCAGTGGAAAAAGAGAGAAAGAATACAGACAAAGTAATAATAGAGTTCATGGACAGTGAGAGGGCATGGGATTTGAGCACATGTGGAATAACTGGCCTTTGATAGGAGGAAGACTATTTCCTGCACAGGACGAGGAGGGATGAAGTGAACACAGATGCACTTGTGTACACATGATGCCAGGGTTCTTGTTTGCGGAGTCAAAGAATGAACTCAGCAAACAGTCAAGGTAGGAGAGCCAGGAAGAGGCTTTTTACTTAGAGATACAGTGAGAGAACAGAGCTTCTGGCTCACACCAGGAGGGGACAAGAGAGTCCGTCGTGGTGCATTGTCTAGGGGATTTATAGGCAGTTGAGAGACAAAGAGCTAGGGATGCAGATCCACCAAATGGTCTCTAAATGTTTGTTTTTAAAGAGACACTAAGTTTCTTATCAGTTTTCCCGACTATTTTGCAGAGTTAACATAAGAAATTTACTGCTTTGATTCTTTCTCAGCATAGCAGTTTCTTGATTTGGAAGCATATCAATCAAGGCTGCTTGTCTTGTTTTCAAGGTGAGCTGAGTTATTGTCTGTTTGTTAAATAGTAAGTTAAGAATCTTCTCAACCTCTTGGGTGTAAAAATGCAGTCTTATCTTTAAGATGGAATCCTTCCTGCCCTTCACTATGTTGCTTATGGCTGGGCCTGCCTGCTATATTAATTGCCCAGGTTATATATCACTTGATTAGGGGCTAGAGGAGGAAAAACAGCATCTGGGTAAAGTTAAAGATAAACTGGGCCTTTTAGCAGGCTAAAGTAAATTTTACAATAGCCTCATTTAATTGACGCAAACAAGACATGGGCTATGTTGAGGTGTTTTCTTATCTGGGAGATGTTCAAACATTCCAGGCTAAGTTACTCCTGGCTTTTTAGTTTTAACTAATCTTCACTGAAGAAGGCTTATATTCCTAGTCTGATATTTTACTTTAGAGAATTAGTGTGACTGTCTTTGCTTAATTGTTTAATATGGAGTTTTGGTAGGGGTCTTTTTCCAGAGGCCCTCACCCTACTCTGACTACACCCACAGTTCCTGTCTCACATATATCTGGTGGCTTTTTTTCTTGTGTGAAGTAACTCATCAGTAAGGGGATGAAGCAGCAGATAGCATGGAGAGGATTTGAAATAGTTAAACAAGGGAATGAAGAAACAGTAAGACTAGGCAGTGCTGATGGTCTAACTGAAGGTGGTGACTATGAATTTACTGTGGTACAAACCTACAAGAAACATGATCCCCAGTGGCCTGGATGACGCAGCAGTGTCAGATGCACCCAAGGTTGGTGTTTTGTCAGGCCCACACAATACAGCAGTAGCATAGATGGCCTTAAATTATTCACATCTGCTAAAGTCTAGTCAGCCAGAGGCCACCAGGCTCAAGCCTGCAATATGACTAAATCATATTTGTTGACTTGCGAGCTAGGGAGCATATTCCAGAGAAACCTTGGAAGGGTCTCTCTACAGGGGGAGGAAGGCTTTGGTAAGGTTGGGGTTCCTGCTGAAGGATTCCGAGGAAGTTCTAAGGAAGAGAGACCAGTTCT